AAAAAAAAAAAAAAGAACAAGCTGGGGGCTGGGGAGATGCATTTGGAGCTCCAGCATCCATGTAAGTGGCGTGCAGCAGCATATGTCCATAACCCCAGCACTGGGGAGGCAGAGAGCCAGGTCCCTGGAGCTGAACTGGTGCACTCCAAGTTCAGGGAGAAACTTCGTCTCCAAAAAACAAGATGAAATATGGCTAAGGAAGACACCTGACATCATCTCTAGCCTCCACACACGTGTGTATAAATCTGCACACACGTGTAAACACGCTTGAACATGAACATGCACACACTAATATGCTAATAAAAGGACAACCAGTGGCTTGTAAATTGGTAGCTGATGGAATGGGTAACCTTAGTGACCGGTCCTCTATCTTGAACAGCGTCAGGATAACCTCATCTGTGTGAGACTGGACCAGCAATTGGAAGACCTTCTTTATGACATCCTGGGCGACTTCCTCGGTCACGCTGTCTACGTAGTAGTAAATTAACTGGATGATTTCTGGCACCTGAAAGAACAGGGAGGGAAGGTTGGTTTTTTTTGTGTGTGTTTGTTTTTTTACAGCAACACCAGCTGAGCTGGAGTCACAGGTCATCATTTAAAGTGTGGGGGCTACAGACAGCCCACAGTGTCAGGATCAAACACATCCCTGTCCGGCTGCACTCTGCCCGGACCAGCAGCTCCCAGAGGACTGTGGACCTGTGGCCTCCAGACCTTCAGAGGGCCAGAGAGAAAGCAGCTATGGAGGTCTGGAGCACACGGCATGAAGAATGAAGGAAGGATGACTCTGGAAATGGAAGACAGGGGCACGTGACTGTTGCCTCAAAAGACCACCGTGGAAGGAAGGAGCGCCTAGTTCTTCGGTGTGTGTGGAGCTGAGGCTGCTGCATGGTGAATAGTATGAGAGTCACCATACCACTTGGATTTGAATGTCACTTTCAAAGTTACCTTTGTGACTTAGAGGATGACTTTTGTCTTTCCCTGAGTTCTGTGTCCTCACTTAGAAAACAAGAGGGATCATTTTATCTCCCTCGGCATCTGAGTTAGCACATCTGCCTTGGCTAGAACAGTGCTTCTCAACCTGTGGGTTGCGACCCCTTTGGCAGCTGAGTGACCCTTTCACGGCGGTCCCATAGCCGATATCCTGCATGACGGGGTGTTTACATGACTATATGCAACAGGAGCAAAATTACAGTTAGAAAGTAGCAACAAAAATAATTTCATGGTCAGGTGGCGGTGGCACACGCCTTTAATCCCAGCACTCGGGAGGTAGAGGCAGGCGGATGGATCTCTGTGAGTTCAAGGCCAGCCTGGTCTACAGAGCAAGATCCAGGACAGGCACCAAAACTACAGGAAGAAACCCTGTCTCAGAAAAAAATAGATAATTTCATGGTTGTGGATCCACACAACTGTATTAAAGGGCCGCAGCATTAGGAAGGTTGAGAACCACTGGGCTACCTGTCAAATGAGAAGTCCAGAAACTTCCCTCTCCATGGCTTATGGCTTCTTTGAGCCTTTCCTCATTATTTTATATTAAGTGTGTGTGTGTGTGTGTGTGTGTGTGTGTGTGTGTGTGTGTGTGGTGTAGTGACTGTGAAGTCTAAAAGCAAAGGACCCCCTGGAGCTGGGATGACATGTATGAGCTGCTCCACACAGACACTGGGAACTGAACTTGGGTCCTCTGGAAGAGCAGCATATGTCCTTAACCACTGAGCCGTCTGTCCAGTCTGATCTTAATTCTTTTTAAGCAAGCAGGTAAACAGTGTACAAATAAAAAGCTATGCTTAAAGAAAAAACAAAAAGCTGTCTAGGTTGAAGTTTGGGTATGACATGGCGTAGTCTCGTCACTGGCTCATGCCATGAACCACAGATGCCATACCTGGGTGTAATGGGAGAAAAATGACAAAAGATAGAAAGCTGTTTCTTTGCAGGATGCCGAGAATTGAACACAAACCAGGGGCGAACTACATTTTAAGGACAGTTTATAGGACGGGGTGACAAGTGTCTTTCCCCTCTGTCTCCCTTGCATAGCTCTAAGGTACAGCATTCACACTTGATTATGCAAAGACCATGCTGCTTACAGTGGAGTCCGGCTGCCCCAAGGTTCACCAGAGTAGACTCTGAACACCAGGCTGAGCAGTTGGCCCCAGAGGCCCCTGCAGCTCTAAAGGCCCATCAGCGGCGTGCTTGGAGGCATGTGATGGCCCTGCAGGCCAGAGAGCCACAAAGGGTTTGGACCCAGGAAAGCTGACAGGAGATGTGTCAAGCAAGAGAGAGGGTGGATCAAACCGGTCTTTTAAAATGATTTGATAACCAGAACAGCTAAAGCCAGACTATCCTGTCCTAGTTATATTAAGAACAGAGGACCAGGCGCTCGGGAGGCAGAGCCAGGTGCATCTCTGTGAGTTCAAGGCCAGCCTGGTCTACAGAGTGAGATCCAGGACAGGCACCAAAACTACACGGAGAAACCCTGTCTCAAAAAACAAACAAACAAAAAAGTAAAAAGCTGAATGGCCAATAGTTAGAATAGCTAGGCAGGAGAGGGATGGGCAGGGCTGGTGGGCAGAGAGAATAAAGAAGGAGGAGGAATCAAGGCTTGAGGAAGGAGAAGAAGAGGGGAGAGAACGCTGGAGAAAGAGAGGGAGACACGCAGGGCCAGCCAGGCAGTCAGCAGGCAGCAGATACAGAGTAGGACATACGGAAAGAAAGGTAAGACGTCCCAAGGCAAAACACAGATGAAGAGAAATGTAGATGAGGTTTAAGTTGTAAGAGCTAGTGGGACAAGCCTAAGCTAAGGCCGAGCTTTCATAACGAATCAGAAGTCTCCGCCATGTCATGATTTGGGAGCTGGTTGATGGCCCCAAAGACAAAGCTCGTTACAATGCATATTCCTTAAAAATAATACTTCCAAGTTCCGTCTTCCTGGGGAGAGTGATCTGTGGGACACCATTCGGTGCTGACTGGTGCCAGTGAGCTACAGTTTTGTTAGCCTCCAGACGGCAAGAGGAGACAGCCAGGCTGTTCGGTGGGCTAGGTGTGTTCTCAGCTTCCAGCATTTTCATTTCATTAGTATACGGCACAGTCAGTAAAGGAATACCTGCCTACATCGACGTCACTAGTGTATGAGTCGGAAATGCCCTCACAAGCTCATGCTTTGAACACTTGCTTCTCAGCTGAGAGCACTATTTTGGAAGGCTGGGGAACCTTTAAGGTGACCTAGCTAGTGAAAACATGTCACTAGGGGCAGGCCTCTGAAGGCAGCAGCCTGGCCCCTGCCTCCAGCACCCTGCCCTGCTTCCTGGTCCACTGCCATGGGGACAGCCTTCTCCACATCCCCCTGCTGCCATGCACAGAGATGCTCTGCCATCTCCTCCTTGTCATGGTAGACTGCGCCCCTCCGGAACTGTGAACCAAAGCAAACCTTCCCTTCCTAAAGTTGTTTCTGTCCGGCATTGGGTTGGTTTCTAATATCTATACCTGTGTCACCTTTGACCTTGACCACGCATCTTTCTACCTACGTGAAGGAGCAGCTATACACATAACCATATATGATGTCTGGACGTGGGAGGAGTGACCACGGTCTATGAGTCCATAGTACACTTCCACCCCTACCCAATTCTTTCCTTCTAATAGAGATAGGAGCCTGGTCATCACTACTTCACACTTTCCCACAAAAATACCTTTTGCGCTGTTGCAAACACAGCTCACCGTATAGGTTTTTCTCTTCAGGGTTAAGGGACTTGGGATTCCTTAAGCTCAAGTTGATTAGGAAATAGAGCAAGACCCCCCCCCCAAAAAAAAAAAAAACAGAACAGAAAGACACTGAAGCAGTGTGTCCTCCAACACCTACCTTGGCAACTTCTGTAAGAGGGTACTTCAGAATCATATTTAACATCTCCGAGGCTGCAATGACATTATTCATGTCGCCGCTGTTCATGGCCTCCATGGCCACCATGATCACGTCGGCTCTCTCTACAGGGGTCAGGTATTTCCTGAAGAACTGAAAGAAGAGTGGATCTCTCCATTCCAGCATCCTATTTGAAGGCTGCCCCCCCCCCAAGCACCTGGCGTCTGCAGAGACCCATCAGACAGGGTCCCGTTAGGAGGCAGCCTGGGAAGCATCTCTGTGACTTGAGGGAACTCCAAAGTTTCTAAACGTTTTTCTGGCTGCACATAGAAAATGTATGGCAGAAAGATGGCTGAAATGGAGCCTTTAGTAAGATGTTGGATTGACCAGGCAAGAGGTGATGGGGGACTCAGAACAATGCTGTGGGGCTGCGGGGTGTGGGCAGGTTGAAGAACTAGGTACTCAGGAGGCAGAGCAGTCAGGTGTGTGGTGGCAGCGGATGTGGCCAGGGAGAGAGAGGGAGGAATAAATCCTGTCTCTCTTGCCGGGTTGACTGAGCTTGAAGACATCAGCACTTCTTTCGAAAATCCCCTTGGTGACCTCACACTTCACACAGCTCAAGTGTGCAGCTTACACCTTCAGTCAACCGTCCCTGAGAACTTGGACTTTGTAAACACTCCTGTTTGTTGGGATTGTTATTTCTAGAATCTACTACCCAGCTTCTTCTCTCCCCCAGACCCCCTCCCCCTCGGAGCATCCCATGCGCAGGGGGCATCTGGGTTACCAGTGTGAGATTCTGCATGTTGGCCATCCAGTTTCCACGGAAATGCTTCTGTAAATCCTTCAGGATGGTCGCTGTCTTCGGTCTGACACCTTCAATCCAAACACAGCAAGTGAGGGGCTAGGCCTTATCAGGGGAAAAGGAGCCCAGGTTCCCACCCCTCCTCCAGGCCTCTGAGAGCAACAGAGACAAATGGACTAAACAGCCAAAGAATAGGGGGTGCTCCCTGGCATTCAAGTGAGAGGTGAAGGGAGGATGTGGCTCTGGACTCAAGCTGGCCCCTGTTCCTGTACCAGGATAAGATGTGGACTTGAGACATTCCTGCATGCTAAGTAGAGGTGTACCCCACTGAATCACAAGAAGCCAGGACCTCTGAAACTGCCTTTGGGGGAGTTTACAAATGCCCTTGGTACCTCTGTGATCATGATTGTTTGAAACAGAAGGGCTTGGTCAAAAGCCCCACATTGGTTCCCCAAGAAAAGATGTTTGCTTCCCTAGTGCTATGAATATGGTTGGGGTGGGACATCTAGGAAATATTGAGGACCCAAGTGGACCCCCATAAGTGACTGTAAGCTTATCTGCCCCCTCACAAGAACGTCATTGAAAAGGACATAGCGTCAGAGATGGCACTGGCATTTATCCAAGTCGAGTGTCTAGATCACCTGGTCTCCCTGCATCATGGCATGGCATGCCCGTTCTCAGATGCCCCTGCCAGAGGGGAGTATGTCTGAAGCAAGGCAGGTATATCCACCGACTCAGTGGGTCCTGCCGTGAGTGGCCACCCAAGGACAGCAGTTCACTTACTTCTCTGAAGCACAAGGATGGTGAACAAGTAATACAATGCCTCCAATGCTCCCACGCTGATCTCCTGGCTGGGATTCATGCAGAAGATGCTGAAGGTTCCAATCAGCCTCCCGATTATGGAGAATGATACCATGTGCTGACAGGAAGCAGAAATGGTTACCTCTCCTCATCCCTAGGGAGCTTCTCTCCCCAAGGCCCCCCACCCCAAATTTTTCCTTCCTTCCACATTCCTCTATCATTGCCTCTATGTGTCAAATCCTCTCCTACCCCACACTGTCCTGGCCAAGGGAAGCATCCCTAGCCAACAGCAAGGAAAGGAACAGCTAAAGCCCCAAAACATGTTACCCAGTGGGCACTGGGTCTCCATCAGCTGTCTAGGCCAAGGACCCCAACCAGGCTTGTTGGGGCTTTTTAGGTCCAGGACGAACCAATGAGGAAATCAAGCTACCTCTTGATGCTCAGGGACAGAAATAAATACTGATGCCGAAAAGTGGGATGTACTCTGACTACCTGCCCTCTAATTGCCCCTGCAGGACCCAGGCTCAACCAGTGCCCCTGCACAGAGAAGTCAAGCCTGCTGGGTCTGCCTTGCGGCAGCCACAGATACTCACCGACAGTTCCGAGAAATTGCAGATAAACCTCAGCAATCGGGAAATCGTGCTCAGGGCTCGGATCTGTTCTTGCACTTTGTCTGACAGCATTAACCAAGGTAAGATGATCTGTAGATGGGACAGAGAGACTCATGAGTGCGGCTGTGGGGCAGGGCGGCTCTGGGACGGTGCGCCCCTTTTCTGGCTTGTCCTGTGTCTACAGCTGACTGCCAAAAAACACCGACAAATAGGAGGAAGCGAGAGCCGTCATCAGAGGAGACCTGCGACTCATGAACTTGGAAAGGCAAGTTCCCATTCACTCCCTCGGATCTGTCTGAGTGTCTTTGCATGGGAGATGGTTCCAGAGAGAGCAAGGCACACCTTCAAGGGCAAGGAGGAGCAGGAGGAAATGGAAGACACATTACCCCCCACCTGCTAGGCCAGGCTCAGGGGTGAAGTGTTCTCTGAAGGGTGAATTCAGGGCCAATGGTTGCTCTGTAATAGTGTGCTTCCAGTAAGGAGTCTGTGGATGAAAACTTACTTCCTCCTTCCGCAGTCCCGTGAGACGGTGTGTTTATAGCTATTTTAGGTCAAGGTCCCAGCAGTGGGAAGAGCCTTTGTCCTGCTTGGTACTTACTCACTTTTGGAAAGCGGGTCTGGGGGTCAGAGTTGAGGAACAGAACCTTTCTCTCTATCATGGACATTCATGTTTTAAAGGGGGGGGGGGGGAGCAGGTGGCCTGGGTGGTGGTGGTGCATGCCTTTAATCCCAGCACACATTTCCTATGTGTAATCTGGAGGCAGAGGCAGGTGGATCTCTGAGTTGGAGGCCAGCCTGGTCTACAGAGTGGTTTCAGAATAGCCAGGGCTACACAGAGAAACCCTGTCTCAAAAAGACAAAAATAAATAAGTTAGTTAAATTAAAAAATAAAAATAAATAAAAGGGAAAAATCAGGGGGTGTAAAGAAAAGAAACAAACAGCAAAAAAAGATGAGCTGGGACTGTGGCTCAGTGATATAGCATTTGCCTGAGGACCTGGATTCAATCCCTAGCATTAGGGAGAATGGGGGGAGGGGCAGAGGGGAGAGAGAGAGAACCACCCATAACTGGTATCCAATACAAACTCAGACTTGTCATAGATGTATACTTAAAATCAATAATTAAGCTGGACTAGGTAGCTCACAGCCATAACCCTGGCGTTAAGGAGACAGAGGTACAAGGACTGCTGTGAATATAAGGCAAGCCTGAGCTACGAAATCTAGCCAATAGGAAGGAAGCATCCAGGGCAGTGCCAGCTTTATTTCCTCGTGTCCAATGACTCAAGTATGCAGTGTTTTTAACAATAGGGTCTTACCATCAACTTCTGCTGGGTAACCACGGGCAACAAAAGTAGCCTGTATTGTTTGAAGGATCTGTGGAAGTACCCTTGACCAACATCTTGAAGGAAGGTAGCTCACACTTGGCACTGGGTTTTTTGTTTGATAGCCTATGGTGTCTGGTAGAGGTGCTATCCCTTTGTATAGGGGAACTCCATTTAAACTCTCTCTCTCTCTCTCTCTGTCTATATATATATACATATATATATGGTTTTTATGTAGCTTTCCCCCAAAAAGATCTTTAGTGTTAGTCTACTGTTCAAAGTCAAATTAAAATAAACTATGACACATTATGTTACCATAATTTTATATAATTTTTTTCTAAATGAAGTGACAAATATAATCCAAATTTTATTGCATAGAAAATAATCCATTTTCTGGCCATCCTAACAAAAGCAACCTACAGATTCCATGAAATTCCCATTAAAATTCCAATATAACTCTTTTTTGTTGTTGTTTCTTTGTTTATTATATATATAGTATTCTGTCTGCATGTATGCCTGCAGGCCAGAAGAGGGCGCCAGATCTCATTACAGATGGTTGTGAGCCACCATGTGGGTGCTGGGAATTGAACTCAGGACCTGTGGAAGAAGAGCAGCCAGGGCTCTTAACCTTTGATCCATCTCTCCAGCCCCTCTAACACACTTCTTTACAGACTTTGAAAAGTTCATTCACAACTTCATATGGAAAAACAAAAAAGCCAGGCTAAAACAATCCTGAACAATAAAGGAACTGCTGGTCCAGTATTTCTTCACTATGCTCCTTTCCCTGCATTTTGGAATGGTAATGTATATCCTGTGCCATTATATGTTGGAAGTATGTGATCTGCTTTTTCATTTTGCTTTTATGAGAGATTATAGTTAAGAGACTGCATGAGTCTCAAAAGAGATTTTGAACTTTTAAACAAGTTCAAGACTGTTATAGACTATGGGTACTTTGGAATTTGCTTTATGTTACAGCTACAAGTCTATGGGGGTCAGGGAGTGGAAAGTGATGGTCTGAATACGTATGGCCCCCATAGACTCGTGTGTTTGAATGCTTGGTCCACAGGGAGTGGCACTATTAGGAGGTGTGGCCTTGTTGGAGGAAGCGTGTCACTGTGGGGAATGGGCTTTGAGGTCTCAGAAGCTCAAGCCTACCTGATGGCTTACACTCTCCTTCTATTGCTACGGATCAAGATGTAGAACTCTCGGCTCCTTCTCTAGGACCAGGTCTGCTTGCATGCTGCCATGTCTCCCACCACGATGATAATGGACTCACCCAATGAAACTGTAAGCCAGCCCCAATGAAATGTGTTCCTTTTTTTTTTTTTTTTTTTTTTTTGGTTTTTTCGAGACAGGGTTTCTCTGTGTAGCTTTGCGCCTTTCCTGGAGCTCACTTGGTAGCCCAGGCTGGCCTCGAACTCACAGAGATCCGCCTGGCTCTGCCTCCCGAGTGCTGGGATTAAAGGCGTGCGCCACCGCCGCCCGGCCGAAATGTGTTCCTTTTTAAGAGCTGTCATGGTCACGTGTCTCTTCACAGCAATAGAAACCCTAACTAAGACAGTGAGTCCTACCAGGACTCTTATTAATAGTTTCAACTGTCCATCTCTTGTAGTCAGGCAAGGCTTCCAGTGGTGGGTCTGGGTTGCATTCAATGAGTTGCTGGCCAAGGGGGTCCCATGGAGATCCCCCAAACAACCCAGGCTGGTACTAAGACAAAGGGTTGCTCTCCACAAACTGATGGTGGGGTTCCATGGCCAAGGACAACATCTACACAACTAATTGAACATAGAGAAGGCAAGCTGGTGCCTACATGGAGCCTTCACCCCTACATTCTAGTCTCTTTGGTGTGAGAAGGTACTCTGCAGCCTACTGAAAGGGAAACATGGACACTAATGCAGCCACAAAACCTTTGACCTACAATCCATCCTGCCTATAAAATATGCTAGGACAGTGGTAGCACAGAACTTATGGGAGTAGCTGACCTATGTCTGATTTGACCTAAGGCCCAACTCCATGAGAAGGAACCCATATAGACACTGCTAGAGTAACCAAGAACCAGAGACTGAATAACCCAGAGACCTGATAAAGCCAAACATTACTGTTCAAAAAAAAAAGATACTAATAAAATGACTCCTAATGATATTCTGCTAATCTCATAGACCAGTGCCTTATTCAGTCATCATCAGAGAGGCTTCCCCAGGCAGCCGATGGGAACAGATACAGAGACCCACAGCCAGACATTATACAGAGAAAGAGTCTAAATTGGAGGTCTCCATCAAATCCTTCCTCTCAGAGCTCAGGGGAATGCCAAGGAAGAGGAGGTGGAAAAATTCTAAGAGTCAGAGGGGATGGAGGACCCCAGGAGAACATGGCCGTTTGAATCAACTAAGCAGGGCTCATATGAGCTCCCAGAGACTGGAGCAGCAAGCACAGGGCCTGCACAGGTCTGCACCAGGCCCCTATGTATATATTATAGCTATTAGCTTAGTGCTTTTGTGGGACTCCTGACGACGACAAAAAAGTAGATCTCTGACTCTTTTCCTACTCTTTTCTTCCTGCTGGGCTGCCATGTCCAACTTAGATATGAAAGTTTTTACTTCACCTTATTATATTTTATTTTGTCATGTTTAGTTATTGTCTCTTAGAAGCCTGTTCTTCTCTAACGAGAGACAGAAAGGGAGTGGATCTGGAGGGGAGGGCAGGTGGGGAAGAGTTGAGGGGGTGGAGGAGGGGAAACTATAATCAGGGTGTATTATATGAGAAAAGAATCTATTTTTAATTATGAGAAATAGAGAAAAATGCAGACAGTTATTTTGAAAAAAACCATAAAAATAAAATAACCCATTTTTTAATGAAAGGTTGAAAACGTTTGCATGGTGCTGTTTTATCTTCTTGTGCTACATTCAGTTAAGACAAAGTCTCCCTATTTAGCCCAGGCTGGCCTCCAACTCATTGCAATCTTCCTGCCTCTGCATTTCAGTGCTGAACGTATAGACATATACACTATGCCTGGCACCATTTTTCTTTGGAGAACAAGAAGCCTAGTAATGAAAGCTGAGGGCTTCACCAAGACAGGGACTAGAGCTCAGTGCACCCCTCCCCCCAGGAGCCCCAAGAATAACAGGGGTTTGCCATTGCTCTCACAAGGAGGGGTCTATAAAGCACAAATGCCTCTCCACAAACACACCAGCAACAGTGCATTCCAAAGCACTGCGTCACTCTCCCAAATACAAATAAGGGCCTCCTCTGGATGCAGCCCTCATCAGGACCATCTTATGAGATCCTCGGACACTCTTATCTCCTTATTTGTAATCCTATAGAATTTTAGGCAAAAGAGCCTAGCCCAGTCAGTAAACATTATCTTCAAGGGACTCCTGGCTCTTTTCCTAATTCAAACTCGCTCCCCAGAAGTGAAAATTTGTCAAAACTAAGACTATTTTAAGTCAACTAAAGAAAGACAAAAGTGCTTAGTAATGCTTTGAGTCTCCTAGAGGTACTTCCCATCAAAGAGGAGAAGAGTAGCCTGAGGCGGGACACTCGTCTCTGCCACAGAGCAGTGCCATCAAGGCGAAGTACACTAAGAAGATTCAAGTGTAACCTGGACATACATGCCATAAATATGATCACTGCTAATGCCCCAGCATGCCCAAGTTCTAGACAGCAAAGGCTCCTGTGCCTGATGACTGTGGTCCGCACACGTCATCCTCAGAGTGTCTTGGGGGAGACTCAGGTCTGCATCCTCCAGTGAAGCTTATGCATGCTGGGGCTTGAGGACCTTTGAACTAGAGGAGCACCTGGACTGTGATCATCATCCGTCCTGCCTTACCCAGCACAGACTACAAGAAAGAGTGCGGGGTCCTGGTTTCCACGGCCACCTACCTCTACAAATTTCTGCAGTATGATCATGTTGGGGCTCCTTTCCTCCATCACAAGGGCTTGCAGCATGTCATCCAAGGCCTGGCTTGTCTGAGAATCGAGGAGACATGGGGTGTACAATCGGATAACTGCCACATGGGCTCGCTTAGCTTCCTGACAACACTCCCTCCCTCTCTGCTGTGGGACGAAGGGGCAGAGAGCCAGCATGGTTCCCCGTCTCTGCTCACACAGCAGCTACACTCTGGTTTTCCTTAGTGTTGAACTTTCTCAGCCTTACTAAACGTGGGAGCAGGCCCATCTCCAGTTGTAGCCAATAGTGAAATACAGGCTGTAGGCATTTCTTGCCAACTAAGACAGTCCGTTGGGATTCTGGGCCTCGGAGAGTCAGTCTACCAGCTTATGGAGACCTCTGTGTTTTGTTTTTACAATCCTGGGAACCGAACCCAAGACCTAAGTAAATGCTTTACCTCTGAGCTATATCCCAAGTCCAAATTTTTAAAACCAAATATCATTGGGAAAATTTGGCAGTCCCTTTGCCAATAATTCTATATAATCTATGGGGTTTTTTTTTTTTTTTGCTAGACTAAGACTAAGGGTGGCGTGTGGACTTCAGAGAGAAGGGATGTGGGCAATGACCATTCCTTGGGAAGCCCAGAATGATAGCAAACAGAATGGAGGCCATGGGGCCATGGTCTCCTGAGGGAGGGGTCGGAGCAGGAGGAAGGCTGAGAAGCTGGGCAAACAGGAGGTGGTCGCCAAGACAAAGTCATCCCCATAGAGATCTTCAGCAGGAGGCAATAACGGCGGTTACCTGGAGGTAAAGACTAGCACTCTCCTTCCGGTCAAGACTGGGCATGATGAGTGGCAGAGAGAAGATGCTGGTGATGCTAACGTTGACCAGGTCCAGTTTCTGGCATAGGTGGAAAGGTGGCCTCACCTGGCTTGGAGGAGAAGCAAAGGACAAGGGACTTAGGGGGTCCCGTGTGAGGCTGGGGCGTGTTTTCAGAACACTCTGGGGGGGACACTGCTCTGCTGTTCTCTGAGGTACAGAAAATTCTACCACTTTACAGTGATTCTTTGTCAGGGCAAGGGAACATTTAAGGAGGCTTCTTTGGGGCTGGAGAGACGGCTCAGTGGTTAAGAACGCTGACTGCTCTTCCAAAGGACCCGGGTTCAATTCCCAGCACCCACATGGCAGCTCACAACTGTCTGTAACTCCAGTTCCAGGGAACCCGACACTTATGGCAAAACATCCATGCACATAATATAAAAAATAAATAAATTTTTAAGAAAAAGGAAGCTTCCTACACTAGATGTCCTAATAGATTTCCAAAAGGTCCCCCTGGTCTCAGGATGCAGGTAAATGAAGTAGCAACCATAGACTTTGCCACTTTTAGCCTCCAGTCAAGTTCCCAAACTTTGCCTGTCTTCCCAACCCAAGTGTTCTCAGGACCAGAATCCCCTCCCCCCCCCCCCCGGGCGGGTCTGGGATAGGGTCTATGGGGAAGGAACCTCAGGGCCACGATGCAGAGCATGGCTTGCTGACGCACATTACTATCCAAGATCTCTGTGGGTTCTTCCATGATGAATGTCTAGAAGGACCAGAAAAAAATGAGAATTTACCTCAGAGAGGGATACCAGCCTCGGGTTTAGGACTGTCCCCTTTAACCCAGAGCAGCCAACTAAGAGTTACATTCTTTCTCACCTGAATTTTCTTGGCCAGAAGGGTTTTAGGGTAGTAGTTATTCATGTTGCCATTTGCCTGATCACGCACAACATTGCTTAAAATTTCCACAGCATTCAGGAAGTTCAGCTTGTCTAACTGGGACTAAGACAGAAAATAAAACCAGTCTCGGGGCAGAACCTGAGACCTGCACCCCACATTCTGCCCCATCTCAATGAGACCCAAGTATAAATCACGTCCCAGTGCTAGACATCACTGGTCCTTCCAGCCTTTGGAGCCTTCTTGGACAGTAGGGCGGAGTCTACAGGAGGTCCTTTAGAGAGGAAGAGTACTGTCACCCTGCCTAGTGGCCTGGCCTCCAAGATTTCCCCAGATTCAGAGCCACTAATGAACTGACATTGGGGAGGCTTCAGGACTAGGGTTAGGGAAAGCTGGACCTTCAGATTTTCCCACTCTGCTCCTTAGTCCTCAGTCCCAAAGGATTTCCTTACCATCTCGCCTGGCTCCATAAAATCCACAATTAGCTGATAGGCCTCTCTTTCTGATTGGCACAATTCTGAAAGGGGGTGTCATTGAAGGATGTTAGCTGATCTTGTTGGGTGGGCTGGGAAGGGACAACCACTCTTCCCCTCCCCCTCCCCTGAGAAGACTAGAAAACCACCATATAAACAGCATCGCGCCTCTCATGTGAACTTCCAAAGTCAATATGGAAAGCATTCGGGTGTGGACCTGAGAGACTTTCTGCATCAGATGTGGCCACTGATTCGAGAATAACTGGGAAGGGAGACGCCTAAATTTAAGTCACTCTCAGTGTCTCACAGATTTCTGGGACTGTTCCACGCTGCCTTTGAAATTCCTGATTGTGAATGGACGTTGAGTCTCAAGCCAGCCTTGGGAGCCTCGCTTGTCAACTAGAGGGAGATGTGTATAGCCTTAAGGGCCTGGGGCAATGAGTGAAGGCAGAGTTCAGGAGGGAGGCTGGGGAAAGAGTCCAGAAGGGATGAGGCAAAAGAATTAAGGCTATGGCAGTGTGTGGCCCCGAAGCAGCATAGATAATGAGCCTGAGTTCAGGCCTCTGCTGTCCTTACACACCACCCTACAGACACCAGATCCCAGGCAGGCGGGACTTGAAACCAGACAGCCTTTCCATGCACTAGCCCTGTGGCCTGCAGCAAACGGAGCTCTCAATTCAGTTTCCTCAGCTGTGCAATGGGTAAGATGCACCTTCATGCTGTGGGGGTTCAATGAACTAATAAAGGCAGAAGGGTCTGCGGTAAATTACCCCACCCCACCCAGCCCAATGCAGTAGTGCACACCAGTAATCCTAGCATTTGGAAGGTAGAGACGGGAGGACCAGGAGTCCAAGGCCAGCCTGGACTGCATAAGAAGATTCTGTCTTAAAAAACCAACAAACAACTTCAGAGGGACCAGTTGAGAGACTGAAACAATAGCCCAGAGAGATAGATGGGTAGCATCCAATGAGGTGGTAGCGGTAAGTTGTCACATCTGGAATCTGTTTTGATCATCAGTAGAAACAGATGTATGAGGCAGCTAGAAAGAAGTGGAAGTTGTTTAGTTAGGAGCGTGACTCAGTGGTAGAGCACTTGCTCAACATGCTAAAGGCCCTGGGTTTGATGATGCCCAGTACAACTAGTAAACCTAAATTCATCAGGCGGGCTGGACAGGTGGCTCAGTGGTTAAGAACCCTGGCTGCTCTTCCAGGGGTCCTGAGTTCAATTCCCAGCAACCACATGGTGGCTCACAACCACCTGTAATGAGATCTGGTGCCCTCTTCTGGCCTGCAGGGGTATGTGCAGATAGAACACTACATAATACATAAATAAATGTTTTAAAAATTAATTAGGCATAGTGGCATACTCCTGTGATCCAAGCACTTGGAGACAGAGGTAGGAGGATCTTGGATCTGAGGGCACCCTGGGCTACATAAGTTGAGTTCTGAACCTGCCTGGGCTGCGGAGTGAAATCATGTCTTAAAAAGTGAAAGGAGATACAAAAGCCAACAAAACCAAAACAAAACACACTTGCACTTCTAACACTCCAGAGGCCGAGGCAGAAGAACCAGTGCAAATGTGATGCCAGCTTGACCTACAAAATTGAGTCAAATGGTGCCATGGAGCCGCATCGCAAGACTCTGCCTACAACAACAACAAAACCTAAAAACAAGCAACAGATTACATTTTTGGCCTGAGGAACTGGAAGGATTGAGTTGCCATTTGTTGACCTGAGGAAATCTGAAGGTGGAAGTAAAGACAGGGCTCCGTTGGAGCATGGAACATATTGGCTTTGAGATGTCTACCGGGCATCAAAGTGCAGATATCAATAGGCTTTTGGAGAGGGCATCCCTGCAATCCCAGCTAATCAGGAGGTTGAGGCAGGTGAATCACAAGCTTGAGTAATGCAGCAAGACTCTGTCTAGAAGAGAAGGAGAAGGGGGAAAGGGAAGGGGAAAAAAGACACCCCCACCACCACCCACCAGAATAACAGCAGGTGAAGGTGCTTGTCACCAAGGCTGACAGCCTGAACTGGGTCTTCTAGACCCACATGGTGGAGAGAACCTATGAACCTACTTCCTATCCTTTGACCTCTACACATATGCCATAGCATTCATGCACACTGTACATGTATATGCACATACACACTAAAGAAATAAAGGACACAGATTTAAAAAGACTGGGGGTGTAAGAACTTGGAATTTGCCAGGCGGTGGTGGCACACGTCTTTAATCCCAGCACTCGGGAGGTAGCGCCAGGCAAATCTCTGTGAGTTCAAGGCCAGCCTGGGCTACAGAGCGAGATCCAGGACAGGCACCAAAGCTACACAG